CCATATTCTCCAGATATGGCACCATCAGATTCTCATCTTTCTCGTTCGCTGCAACATCATCTTAACGGGACAGTGTATGCAAATGTGGAAGGTGGTAAAGAGGACATCGACATGTTTTTTGCTTCAAAGCCAAGTGATTTCTTTAACCAGGACGTTAACAACCTGATTGTAAGATGGAAAAGCATCATCAATAAGAATGGAGACGTTCATTCAATAAATGATTTGTTTTAATATATAAGTTGTTCGGTTTTTTCATCTAAAAAAAGCGATATTAATTTCTTGACGACCTAATACTTCTACACTCGACCGAGCCGGGTATTACCTGGAAGTCCAATACCCGGCCGGGTACCCGTGCATCCCTAGTTTGAAGTGGGGTCACTCCCATTTATCAGTATATATATATATATATATATATGTTTTAAGTGGGATCACCCTCATTTATCAGTATATATATATATATGTTTTAAGTGGGGTTACCCTTATTTATCAGTATATATATATATATATATATACATATTCATATGAGGCTGATAAATAGACAGTTATTTACAACGTTAACTGTGGAATTTGAACACTAAAATAAGGCATTTAGTACTAAAATTGAACAGCAAAAAGTATTTTCAAGGGTGTTTTTATTTTTTTAGGCATAAGTACTGGAAATTTTATGATCGTTTGAAAACTACAATTTCGGTTACATTTTCCGGAAAAGCGCACTCTTTTCCAGGGCGTTTTTCTCTTTATTTTTTTGTTATTTTGCTTTTTCCTTCTTTTTTTCATGAAAATAAATGGCAATACATGCAAATAAATTACAATTTTTTTTTACGATTTTGTTGTTTTTTGGGATGATTACTTATGTTGACTTTCGAATTCCTAATGAAACACCTCCTTGAGCTCCTCCTTCAACTGCTTACCTTTTTTCTATCTTTTTCTGTTTGATTTGGTTGATCTTGCTTTTTATTTTCTTCTCATCAGGGAACTCTTCGATTGGGTTTGCTTCCTTTATCAGCTCATATCTTTCCAGGACCACTGCATAGCGTGTCTTTGGTGCAATGATGTAATTTGCATCAAGAATATTATTGATGATATTTGAAAGCACATCGAGAAAATGTATACGAGTTGAAAGCTTCATGGATCAGTTTTGTTAGTTGGAATTATCATTAACATTTTCTATGTTTTATTCGTGACGTTTCTTAACTACACCTGACAGATGGTATACAGAATGTACTACATACTATTTGGTATGTTGACAGTCTTCAACCAATCAAATTCTTACTCTTTTTTTTTGAGTTTTACAAGCCACTTGGCAGGAAGTTCTGACCACCAGCATGTCTAGATATTAATCACTGCATTAAATGAAAGATACCACAGTTGACTTTTATTTGATATGTTGTATTTAACTCTTGTTGTTTGACATCTATTATTTTCACCGTTTCAAAGAATTAGTGCACCAGATTTTTCTGAAGTTTTAATAACGTGTTACAGACTTGTTAATAAATAATAATATTTTGTGTAGTTACTAGTTAAGATAAGTACAATTCTTTTTTGTATTCGTCATACTCATATATTCTAAGTTTTAAAAACAGAGACTGATAATATGATCAGTTATGAATATCGACACACACACATATATACACACATGTATCTACACGTATATATACATATACATCTACAGAATAAAAATTTTATATTTCATTTGGTAATATTTGTTCACCAATAATTAAAATGGCATAGACCATCTTAAACGCAGCCACAGTTTTGCATCGAATTTATTAAATTTAAAGCTCTAGTATTAAAATTGGATAAAACCAATCGGATTTCTAAATAAAGCTGAACTTGGATTTAAAAATGTTCGTACAAGTTTACAAAAACGCATTTGATGATATTTTGAGGAAAGTGTTAAATTAATTAAAATAATTGCTATGTTTTGTTTTTTAATATCATTATCAAGACAGAAAACTCAAGAATATCCGTGTAATTTCTTATGACGTCAGAAAGATGGCGCCGATTTTTGTTAATGCCACAATGAAGATTTATTCAAAGGTATTCCGTAAACTTGTTAAATGTCTCATTGTCGAACTTTATTTGTTTATAATTTAACATCAAATGAAACAATGGTCTATATGTGCTGTGTCCCCACCAGCGATAAAATTCCGTAATTCAGTGTTATAAGCCGTCCAACTCACTGCTGAGTAACCAAGCGACATATCGCCAAAGTAAGACAAACTGATACTTATTTTTTGTTAAGTCACAGCTACATAATGGTCTGTCTGTCCTCTTTCCACCGTAGGTATCGAAACCCGATATTTAGCGTTATAAGCCTCCCTGACTTATCTCGCCGAGCAACTGGGGCGGAGACAAAGTGATGATCATGTGAACATAAAAAAAAATTGTAAACATTAAGGTTCGTGTATTTTCGCTAATGCACAAATTTCTGAGCAAATCGTGTTTTACAATTTAAACAAGCGTCCAGATCCCCCATCTGCTGAAATTCGGGGGCAAAATTCAACTTTCAACAAACGAATTTTATGAAGTTTAAGTTAGTTTTGTTATTGAATATTGAGAATTATAAGAAGAACAATACCTATACGTTTCAAAATTAAGCGATTTACGTTATAGCACATTTATAACAATAAACATGTATGTGTAATCTGTTAAAAAACAACAAAAAATCTTCTTTTTTGTGTCAAAAACGCCCACGAACATAATATATATTTGTTATTTCTTTCTTTACTGGATTAGACTTGTAAGTTAATCTCAATATATAATTCAATATATAAAAGGCTATGGTTCAATGGTTCTGGTTGTGAATAGGAAGATTCAAGATACATATAACTGATATACTGTTGAATATGCTCTGAATTCTCAGCTGTGTTCGTGTTATAAAAGTGACAGTCAATTCCTGATCAACAGTTACAAATTAGGGATGGCTGTGCCTGAATCTTGGGATTCATGATCTAGCCGTTTAGCATAAGTTTCACTTTAAATGTCGTTATGGATTAATATTAAAATTCTCAGTACATATGTATTAGTTGAAACATATTCTAGATTCAAACAATCGAATAAAAAAAAACAGTCTTTTTTTTTTCTACGCGATCCGTCGAAAATCTTTCTTGTATATTATCATTAAATTCTACTGCGTCAGAAAGTATCGGAATTACAAAAAATGTAACATTTAATTCATAAAATATGAAAATGATTTTAAAATTTACAGTAACAAATCTCTTTGTAAATCGGTAAATTTTGCTATAACAGTTTTGAAATCCAGTTCAATTACATAATCTTCAATATTCAACGGAAACCAGAGTTTTGCATTTCATTTTTGCTGATTGGAATTACGATAATATGAAATAGAACCTACATATTTTTGTTGTGTTTATATTTTGTTTCCGTTAGATATTTTATATAACGGCCAGGCATGGCCATGTGGTTAGGGCCCTTGACTCACAATCTGCGGGTCGCGTGTTCGAATCCTTCTCCCACCAAAAATGCTCGACCTTTCAGCCGTGGGGGCGTTAAAATGCGACGGTTAATCCCACTATTAGTTGGTAAAAGAGTAGCCCATAATAAACAAAGAATTTTATATTATGTACTTTAATTCTTTGTTGATATATATATGATATGAGTAGTATTTTCGGAAGCCGATAGATGGCAAGACTGTCAGAAGCCACCTGCCGGGTGAATTTGTATAATAGAGAGCGAAGGTAGCGTGTATCGGTTGGTTTATAAAGGTGTATGGATCGGTGGGCCAGACAGCTCGAGAATCATTGACTCGATAACGGTCGTGTGCTTAAAGTTTTAATCTAGAAAACTACTTTCTGAAGTTAGTCGTTACCTACTACGTGGACTTTGTACTAAGCAAATGGTGTATTCTATTTATAAAGGTAAGATTTATTTTTTTCCTGACAAAACTGTGAATCGTTCGGAGAAAACGCAGGTACGAGAAGAATGCTTATATCAATAACGTGAATCAGGGAGAGATGTGCCGCTAGGATTCTTGCCTGTTTATACGAACCTAGGTTTAACATAGGAAAGTGAGTAACAATAGATATTGACGTTCCACGGAGTGTCTTTGTGAAAGACACAGTTATAAAAACCACAATTAATGCATTAAGTAAAACATTTATCGTCATTTAAGTATTAGATCTGATGTAAGAAATTTGAGAGAGGAGGAAAAACTATGTAGTGGAAAGTTCAACGATGCAATTTATAATGTAAAAGATAGTATAAGAAGTTCATGAACTCAATGTGAGAAACATTAGTGGGTTATTTAAGCAAAGAAATTCCTGAAGGACTTTTTTGATTTCTAAGAACTGTTGAAAAGAAGTTATTATCTGTTTATAAAACCTGCTTAGTTTTACGTTAGAAGTTAAAGCCCCCCCCCCCCCAAGTAGATCAGGGGTAAGTTTGCAAGCTTACAACGCTAAGGTTCGGGTTTCGATACCCGTAGTGGATAGAGCACAGATAGCCCATTGTTGAGCTTTGTGCTGAACAACAACCAAACTAAGAAGTTAAACTTTTGCAGTATAACTTATTTCAAAACGTGAATAAAACATTAAAACATAATTTTTCAATACGTTAAATACTTAGTTTTCTTAAGTATTCTTAAGGTAATGAAATATTACCGATCAATAAAAAATATCCGATTAATTTACAAGATATTTTCAAACACAGTTTAAACTGCCCTTACACATTCTACTTTTATAATAAAACGTTCTTCTTTGCTACAGTTGAGTTATCAAGTATGATTATATCGACATGTAAGATTTCCACGTAATAGAAACTCTACCGGAGCACATCATTAAATCTTTTTTCCATTTCTTTTGCATCCAATGTAAACTTTCTGTTTTTAAAGCGTTCCTCGGTCCCAAACTTCCTCAGTGTAGCTCTTCTCTAACATCTTCCATTTTAAGAACCATCTAGATGGTGGAGTTAATTATTTGTCATGGACTTACACAGATTTATCTGATGCATTACACCAGGAGATTTCAAACACAATAACAGGAGTTCCTGATACTTAAGAACGACGGTAAACACAGTCTAAACATCGGCTACTTAAAGAAAACGTCAAATGTTGTTGTATTTATATTTCTACAGATGTATTGGCTTAACTCACATGTTCTTATAAGTACTGTATTTTAATAATATTTTACGCCGTTGTTATATACCAAATAAAGTAATTACTGTATCTTATTTAGCAAATTTCTTTTTTTTACAATATCTAATGGATATTATTAAAATGTTGTGTTTATTTAAGATGGCGTTCTACGTATTGTTGCCCACAAAGCCGAATTTTAGCAACAAACCCATACCATTTTTAAATCACCCTTTTGTGTACTGAAAACGAAACCAGGGCATAAAACCCAAGGAACAGTGCAACATTTATCTCTTAAATTATTAGTTGACAAGGGTACATATAATCTAAGCTTTTCCTCCACCCTGTGTAGAACTGGACTACACATTAATTTTAAAACACAAGTTTTTAATGTCTGACCCATTTATATTAAAGTGGTAAACAGTATATTTGTTTTTTATTTCCTCAACATCAGGTTCAGTCTAATTTCTCCCCTACGTTGCCTTTTTCTAGTCTGTTTATTCAAACAGTTTTTTTCTGAGTATAGTTTTTGTACGTTATTCTATTCACGTTCATAAACATTACTCTTCAATACTAGTGTTACGTAATTTTTATCCATTCATTTATACAAATCGGAAGAATAAGCTTAATATGATCATTCTGGTGGCATGATGTCACTTATGAATTTTCACTGGTTACAGATATGTTTTTCTTAGTAACATGCTTTGTCATTTATATTTTTGTCGTTCTTACTTTTATTAATCTTAGAAATAAATCAAACATTGCTAAAATTTCGGTTTTCGTTTGTTTGTAGTTAAGCACAAAGCTACAAAATGGGCTATCTGTACTGTGTCCACCAATGGTATCGAAACCCGGTTTTCAGCGTTACAGGTTCTCAGACTTACCGCTGTGCCACTGGGAGGGTCTGAAATTTCGGAAAACATACTCCGCTGCTAGCACTATTAATAAATGAAAAACAGGAAACAGTTTTAAAGCTTATCAAAAATCTACTTATTGTGTACGTCTTATTTTAAGAAACAATATTAACGTGTTGTTTTTGTGTTTTTAGGGGCGTGCAAGACGTTTCTGAATGTTAAAGCATGATGAGACTGTGGAACGTAATAGGACTGCTGTTTTTTCTGTCATCTCTGTCCATCATAAGAGTACTGAGAAGCGAGAACCTTGTTATTCCCCATGATGCTCATCCTGGACACACAGTCAAAAAATACTCCTTCAATGGACAGACTTTTCATATTGTTGGCAAGCAATTTTCGGAAAATTTTGCTATCTTAAGTAACGGTATTCTCATGTTAACATCAGATATTTCCCACAGAATAGGACAACCAATCGCTCTTGTTGTCAAGGAACAATACCACAACGTTACGTTAAATGGTGTTCTTGTAGTACACGTAAAACACAAGAATCATATGTTAAAGTTCGGGAAAAATTTGTATTCGGGGAGTGTATTCGAGAATTTTCCCTGTGGAACTATTGTCCAAGGCCTGGAAGATATAGTCGTTTCTGGTGTAGCAAACAACCATGTTACTTACAGCATTGTGTCTGGAAATGATGACAATTCTTTTAGTGTCACTCCATCTTCTCCCAACAGGACAACAGCTGTCGCTGTCGTAACTAATCACCCTCTGGATCGAGAGCAACTAGCCTCATATAAGTTAGTGTTGCGTGTGGTAGATGAACTCGGGGTCGATAACGATGAAACAGTCCTTCATATTGATGTATTGGATGTCAACGACAACCCACCAATTTCGGAAAGGGACTTCTACGACTTCCAAGTACCACTGAAGACCGAACCATTTTCTGTGATCGGTAACGTCACCGCCACAGACATGGATGGAGATCATCCTGTTTATCATTTTTGCAATCATCATTCGAAGTTCAGTATCATTCCAAAAACTGGCCAGGTCTTTTTGACAGGAATACTTGAACCAGAAACGTACCAATTACGCATTCGAATACACGATAATCGCAGTCCTCGATTATACAGCCATGTCATTCCTTTATCTATCACGGCAGTCTCACCTGATTCGTTTACTATTGAAGAAACCTTATTTGATTTCATGGAAGATGACATGAAATATTTATCGCGGTCAAAAAGGTCGGTACGGCCAACAAAAAGCTATGAATACAAAGAAAATGATGGAAGTATTATAGGACAAACCATGTTTCAGCTGGAGAAAACGAACCCCCAAGAGATATTCCAAATCGAAAGTCCCAATCAATGGGTTCAAGTAGACAGATTAGGTGTTGTAAGAGTGAAGGAACCATGGAATTATGAACAACTAGGGAAAGAAAAAACTATTGATTTTTGGGTATATGCATCGCAACCAGGTGTTCCAGGTACGTTTTGTTAAAAACAGTTGTTATTTTTGTGCGTTAATAGTTTATTTATTTTATCTGAATATACCCCGTTATAACTGGACTTGTATTTAAAAATACACTAGTTCGGTTATCTTCTTTGGACTAATAGATGTGTTTCAACTATTGTAATAAGTTATGTTTTTTTTTAGTTTCAATTTGTTACTGTCTTTTGTTTGGAAAGTTTGCACCAATTCTTATCGCATAAAATACATGCTTTAGAATTCTAACTCTTATATGGATATCAAACGATTTGTAAGTTAATCAGCAGTATGTATACTAGTCGTCTTTCCAGAAATAATTAGTTCAGTTCTCATAAGTTCTACCAGATGTTCTTTTTCTCGCAAGAGAAAATGGATTCAAGCACTTTTCACACAAAATATTAAGTAAAGCACGTCATTAAAGCTGTGGATCTTGGAGAAGCGAGAAATATTAATTAACGCTGACACTTGGAAATCAAGAAAGTATAACCAAATTAATGGAAATTATCTAAACTAACATGTGTTAATCAGGCTGTTTATCTGACAAGTTAGCCTTCGTAACTAACTTAATCTTTGGTACTTTAATTTTGTCTGTAAGACTTTTCTACATTAGAGGGCCATGAAGCTTCTTTAGAATATTTATCTAGATAAATACCTTTTACAATGTAATAATATGTGTTATAGGTTAGAGGAAGGAATTTAATATCAGTTTCTGTATATCATAATTTGCCGAATCGTAATTTTGGAGCTCAAACAAAAATCGTATGAAAATCGCGATATCTTTGTACAGAGACAGCAACAAGTGGGTTGTTATTTCTTATGAATGTTAGAATGTGCCAAATAGACTTATATCAACTCTAATCGGAGGTTCAGTCATGCGTTCCACAGTAGTAAGTTAAAACATTTTTCGATATTATATTTTCTAGGTTTGTTGGACACAAGAAGACAGACAAAGGTGTTTTTAAGGAAGAATTATGATGCTTTGAATCAACATCTGATTCATTGGTCATATTTTACATCTCTTGAAACACTTCCTTATAAATTTTTTCGTAAAACTACGCGGACCTTTTACTTCATACCTTGAAACATGTGGTATGTTTACAATATATCATTAGAAGAACTTTGTTGTTGCGATAAATAAGCTAAAACGCGCATTTTACATAAACTCCGATGTTATAACATTGCTAAGATTAAATAAAGAGATAATTACATCTTTATCAGCTATGGTTTATCATACACAAGAAAGATGATTATATAGCACAATGTATCCGAACTAAAAATATCTAGCATTCTTATGTGAGTAGTATTTAATGCATTTAGTGTATTCAATTATACCCTCTTTACGAACTTTACCATACAGCTTAGATCACCCTGCTAAAACCATATTTAGACCAGTTTAACAGAATATCAAGGTTAAAGCCATTTTCCAAAAGACATACCAGCAGCAAAATGAAAATATATTAGAAAACAAGTATAATGATGTAGGGAAATGTAGGTCAGAGGAGCTAATTAATAACTATAAGGGATTGATAAAGGCACTTAAAGAAAACGGCCATAACTTTTTGTCACGGATACTACTCAGAATTAACTGTGGGGGTGAAGTTATAAATAGGTCATTAGGGCTAAATGCTAGGCTTAGATTAGTGTGTAAGGATGAACAGATTGGTTGGTTGGACTTGTGGGATCAGTTAGTGGGAGAAGGGAGCTTTTTGCAATGGGTGGTTTACATTTAAATAGAGTAGGGGCTGGCTTGTTTGCTAAGTCTATTAACTTAGCTGGAAGGGAAGTTTTAAACTAGGACTAGACAGTGATGAGGGCCAGAAAAAACTGAATGCAAAAAGAATAAGAGGCAGAGAAATGTTTAGCATTGGAAATGAGTATAGAAGTAGTTATAAGGATAGGCTTAATTTTACTATTGTAATGCTAGAAATATAAGAAATAAAATAGGTGACTTTAGAGCACTGGTAGGAATGGAGGATTTTGATATAATGGTATTAACTGAAACATGGTTAAACATAGATGGTTTTGATGACACAATTTTTTTTTTAAATACAGGGTTACAGACTACTTAATAAAGATAGGGTATTAAAGAGGGGAGGAGAAGTGGATTTATATGTAAAATGTGAGTTACATCCTGTTGAAGTTGAGGATATCAAAGATAATAGCAAGGAGACTGAATCCATTTGAGTTTCTATCAATGAATATAAAGGGAAAAGGCTTTTAGTGAGAATTTGTTACAGACCACCAAATGATACTGATGAAATTAGTGAGAAACTTTACAATGAGATTAAGATTTCAGCTGTTAATGAAATCATAATTATGGGAGATTTTAATTTCAGGCATATAGATTGGAAAATTCTAGAATCAAACCACGAGAGAGAAAGGTTTTTTGGAAACTGTTCAGGATGGCTTTCTTCACCAGTTAGTAAAGGAACCAACTAGAAACATTGCTATTTAAGACTTATTGTTAACTTCAAATACAAAAATGATTGAGAGGGTGGAAACTGGAGAACATCTGGGTGCAAGTGATCATTGCTCTATTAGGTTCAATGTTTTGGTGCATATGGAGATAAGGAATAATGATATTTTGGTTACAAATTTCAAGAAAACTCAATTTGAAGAAATGTGACAAGAATTATCTGTTGTGAATTGGGCAGCTGAGGTATTTGGAAACACTGATCAGATGTAAAAAACTTTTAAAGATAGATTTTGCAATATTCAATGTAAACATATTCCTAATAGAAAGAAAATGCTAGCTACAAGTAAAAAAAACAGGTTGGCTAGCAAATAATTTAAGAAATAAAATTAAAGAAAAGCATCATAAATTTAACAGTAAGAATTGTTTTAAATACATTAAGTGGAAAATGAATGTTAGAATAGGGATAGGACCCTTGAGGGAGGATAAAAGAAGGCTAGTATCTGATGATTATGAGATGGCTGGGTTATTAAATTTTACCTTTTCTTCGGTTTTTACCAATGACGGTTTAAGCAGCATTCCACATCTTGATCAGTTGATAAATGGGAACGAGATCAAACAAGATGACTGCATTAATTCTGAACTGGTTAAGAAAAAATTCGGAAGTTTAGAAAATGATAAAGCTCCTGGGCCAGATAATATTTCCCCCAAGGTTTTGAAGGAGGTTAATGATCGGACATGTGAGCCACTTGCTACTATTTTTTGTGAGTCCTTAGTAGTGGGCATGTGCCAGAGGATTGAAAGTTAGCTAATGTAACTCTTCTTTTCAAGAGAGGAGATAAAAATTGTCCCAGTAATTATAGACCCATTAGTCTTACATCAGTTGTGGGAAAAAGTTTAGAAACTGTTAAAAGATGCCTTACAAAATCATTTAACAAAGTTTATAATTTTATTGGATAGTCAAGATGGTTTCACTAAGAGGAAAATCTTGCCTTACAAATCTTTTGACATTCTTAAAAAAGGTTACTGCTTATGTAGATGAGGGTAAGGGTGTAGATTTGGTGTATCTGAATTTTCAGAAAGCATTTGGACAAAGTGCTATATAAAAGGCTTTTAAAAACATTATCTCAGTAGATGTGTGGGATAAGTTAGCAAATTGGGTAAAAGAGTGGCTGGATGGAAGAAAGCAGAGGGTTGTTACAAATGGAGTTCAATCAAACTGGATTAATGTTACAAGTGGGGTACCTTAGGGCTCAGTCTTAGGTCCTTTGCTCTTTTTGATTTATGTCAATGGCATAGATGAAGGAATAGTCAATAAACTTGCAGATCATATTAAGATCTTGGGTATTGCTACCTCTGAAGAGAATGCTGGCATTTTACATAAGGATTTAGATCATTTAGTAAGTTGGGCAAATAAATGGAAAATGTAATTTAATTGCAAGATAATGCATGTAGGTTATCATGATTTGAATTATAAGTATAAATTGGATGGGAATAACCTCAACAATGTTATGAAAGAAAAGGATCTTGGTGTAATACTTAATGAGTCTCTTAAGCCATCTAAGCAGTGTGCTGTTGCATGTGGTAGGGCAAATAGGATTTCAGGTTGTATCTACAGAAATACTAAATAGAAGTCTAAAGACCTATGATTTCATTGTATAGGTCTCTGGTTAGGCTACATTGGGCTCCTTACCTTAGGAAGGACATTGAATTGTTGGAAAGTGTTCAGAGGATGGTTTCTAGAATGGTGCCTGGGATAGAGGGGTTGTCATATGAGAGGTTGAAATCTCTCAAACTGTTTTCTGTTGAATAAAGAAGATTTTAAGGGGATCTGTTTGAATTGCTTAAGATTGTAAAGGGAATTGATAGTGTAGATGCATCATATTTTTTCATGCATAATGGCGAGAATGGTAGGACTAGGGGACACAAATATACATTTTGGCAGAGTCGGAATCATCTTCAGCTAAGACAGTTTTATTTTTCTAACAGGGTAGTTGGTCTTTGAAAATGGTTGCCTTCAGATGTTGTGGAGTCATTAAATTTAAGTGAGATTAAGAGAAAGCTTGATTTTTTTTTCTTAAATTCATTTATTAATAGGTTTAGTTTTGTTTAGAGGATGGGACAGTTAAGATAGATCAATAGGTCCCATGTTGTGCCAAAACATTATGTTACAATAAAACCTTTGGGGAAATATTATCTGGTCCAACAGCCATATCATTCCTTAAAATTCCTAATTTTTCTTAAGCTCAGATTTATTATGATCAATTAAAAGAACAAAATTGACCTTGTGAAAAACTGATTTAACACTTTAAACTGAGGTATAATTTCATATGTATCAATAAACCAACTGAAATTATGAAATGTACAAAAAGTTTCCATGTTTCCCCATTAGCCCTTGATTCTTCTTCCTCATTATTATGTGACACACCTCGTTCCAATTATGTTTTTCCTCCCTCACCTGACATAAGGGTTCTTGCTCAATGGTTTGTTGAACAATTGCTGTGAGGGGTAGGTATGCTCCCTCAGTGTATGGACTAGTATTAATTGCCTTAACAGTGGGCCTTGGATCAATTTTTGGATTCCCAGCATTTGGATCCTC